TGATCCCTACAGACAAGCTCACTGACACACATACAAGCTCACTCACTAGCAGGCACACACACACAAACTCACTAGCAGGCACACACACACAGAGGCTCCCTCACTAGCAGGTGCACGCACACACAGAGGCAGACAGTCACTGACACCGAGGCAAACATCCACACATACAGAGACAGGTAGACAGCCACACACACACAGGCAGACAGTCACACACACACACACAGGCAGACAGACACACACACACACACACACACACACACACACACACACACACACACACACACACACACACACACACACACACACACACACACACACACACACACAGCTACAGGCAGACAGTCTCTCACACACACACACACACACTTAAAGGCAGACACAACACACAGACAGGTACCTTTCTCCATTATGCTCTGGATAATGTCTGTGTAGCAGTCAGGGAAGCAGGAACTCCTTCCTGCTTCTCCCTCAGTGTGCAGCATAACCGGGCAGAGGGTAGAGGCTGCATTTAGCTCCGCTCCTGCTGCCCATTTAGCCCCGCCGCTGTAGCACAGCTCGCACACCCCTAAGGCTGGCCCTGGTTGTCAGCTTAATATATTGTTACAAGTATTTTTTATCACTCTATGCCCTTCTTTGCCAAGAAAAGGTAGCTAGAAAAGCAAAGACAACTTGAACAATAATTAACTTATTTTAATTTATAAGTAATTTTTTATTTTTTATTAAATTCTTTATGTTTGCTGTACATAAGACTGAAAGACTTACAAACAGTGCCACAACAGCACGTAGAAGCGTTACAACAGAGATAATAGTATGGTGGGTGTTTGAATTGTACATTTTCCATTATGTTACTCAGGCTTGTTACGTCAGTAAACAGATAAACAGACGTGGTAGGTAAATCTTGCTATGTGAACTGGCAGTATAGTAAATCAGAATAACGAGGTATAATGTAGGAACATGCTTGGTCAATATATGATTATATAAAATACTGTTATGCTAGGAAAGGAAACCAATTAGGCAAGAGGAAACATTTAGCATGTTAGATTAGTAATAAGCTAAGCTGGACTGAAGAGAGTGTTAGTAACATACTAGCTAACATACTAGCTCTTACTTTAGAGCAACTGGGTACTCTACTCCATAGGGAAGTTAAAGAGAAAGAGCATAAAAGGTCCTGCAATGGTAATAACACACACTGTATGGAATCTGGTTTTCCAGGCTTCATTCGATAGCGCAGGTATGCCAGGAAACAGTTCATGGCTCTGCCGGGTGTGTCTCCATAATTTGCCCCTTGGTGGAGCCAGACATCATGCTGTAGCTTGTAAGCAGGGTAGGGTCCGCTGGTGCAGATTTAGCCTCCCTCCGTCTCCCAGGCTCCAAGAGAAACCATCATTGCGCTACCAGGAATACTCCTCCTCCGTCTGGCAGGGTTGTAAGCCTGAGGGAGCTCCGGTTTACTGGGAAACATTGGGAAGTGTAGGCAGCCGGCAGGCAAGCCCCTCGTGCGGGTCCCCATCCCCAGGATGGTGTCAACGATCCGGTGTAGTAGCGATGGTTACAAACTCCACAGACGAAGTAGGGATAGGGGTTCGGCAACGAATGTGCTACCAGAAATCCTGGCACACCTTGTCAAATCTGGCTTCAAAGCTCTCTTTCCAGGCTTGGATTGTTGAGCACTCCGCGTGATCAAACTCAGCGGCCATCTTGGGCTCGCCATGTGGTAATCGGCTTGGCAGGAGATACCACTCTTGCAGGTAAGGTTTCCCCAGTGGGGACCGGGATATTCCCCACTGCTGCAAAGGGGGGGTTGCGGGGCTACAGCTTGAACTCTGTTGAGAGCTAGCCCTGTGTCGGGAGATCGGCTGCCTCCCCCCAGTCACCAGGCCACTAGACTGGCTCGGCCGTATGGTCGGACGACTTGAATGCCCAGAATACCGACACAAATCAGGCATTGTCTTGTTCTCGCTTGGTATATGTCGGGCCATAACTCCTGTGAGGATTAAATCAATAAGATTATGAGCAGTTAAGGCTGATTTTGTACTCGGATGGGTCGGAGCTAAGCAGAAACACGTCCGACCATCTTGGCTGTCAGGCCCCGCCCCCTTATAAGTAATTTTAAAGTCCCATCTTCACAATATTACCGGTGAATTCTACCCTTCCTTGCAATTAATAGCACCTAGTACATCATTATTGAGGTAATTATGCTATCCACCCACGTATTTAATTGTAAACCTTGACCATATACAAAGCTTTTCTCCTTGACTAAAACTTATAGGTTCAATATGTCAAGTTTTAGGCAGAGGCTTATAATGTTAAACTGTATCCAGCTATCCATCAAAGCCAACGGGAAAAACAATGGGATATGTATTTCAATAAAATCCATTAGTTTAAATCACGTAAAGACAAAAAAATAAACTACAGTAGAAGTAGCTTCTGCTATTTCAGTATTCGTGTCTGGGCGCTGCAGTGATATTTGCAAATTGCTGCATCTATAGGCCAGAGACAGCTGGGAGACTGTGAGTTCCGTGTACCTTTACAAGTGCAGCTAATGCACTGAATATGCATAATTCAACAGAAATGATTGATGTTATCAGGTTCTCACAGTCACCATTTTGTATGTCAACATATTTTCTAATTTTTAAAGTAATATGCTTGAACCCCAACAGAATATCTATTCCCGGAAACATTTTCAAACTTTTTATGTGTGTCCGCTGTCTGCTATGTTTAATTTTCCTGCTAAACTTTTAGCGTTGGCGCCATCAGTATAACCCACCTATTGTATGGCAATCATCTCTTCATTACAGCCTACATGGGCTCAGGAATTTATGGTCAGAAAAAAGTGACTTTATGTAAGCTAATCTGGTGTTCAGTGCTGTCTTTTCTTAAAATGAAATAATCATTGTGTTTCTCCAGTATGGATCTGTTACCCCTCTTCACATTGCTGCAGCACTTCCTGTCGCAGAGGGAGTTCGAATAACAGAGGTCCTGCTGCACGCAGCAGCTGACCCTAACGCCAGAGCAGGAGATGGAGACTACATATATAAACAATACAGGGTACAGTATAACTCATATTCAATGCCAACAAAAGGGCTAGCAAGGCATAGAAATGACTAATGGCACTGCAGATGTGTGTGAATTACATTTCTCATGTAGGTTGGCTGAGTGTGATGAGAAATCTAATTTACAATCATTTCTATCCTTTATTTTTAATAACTACTACACATCATAAAGAGGCATAGGACAAAGAGAAAAAGATCATGCTTTTATTTAAGGCTGTCATGATTAATAAAAACAATATCAAACTAGTTAAACGTGCATTTAGCTTAATGATAGTTTTCTAGTACCTCGTTTGCAGAGATAAATGTTATCATTAGCCAACTTCATTTTACTCATATTATTGACCTTGGGACGATGAAAGGCTGAATTTAGCATGTTGGTTATAGAACCTGCAATATACTGCAACTGGAGTCCTGTTATCTGAGATATCTTAACAACTTCATCACAACATTGGATACAATACAACCTTTGTTAGCCCTGATTCCGCTATACCTAATATTCACAAGGCAATTGTTTTTTTAACCAGGAAACTGTGTGTGTGTTTGTGATGTTTACATATATAAGAATACCTTTTTTCTCTCTCTATCTCTATATAAAAGTTGTGTTTTTTTCTTCTTCTATAGACACTTTGCCATATATTGCAATAAACAAATGGGTGTCTAGCAGCCCATTTAAATAAGCCTTCCTCAAGTCTTATTTCCTCACCTCAGTTTCTGTTTATCTTAAATGGGGTAATTTAAGCACTATAACTACTGCATGGACCTGTAAAGGTAACGATGCAAGCATGGCACTCTTGTCAGCGCTGGTTTGAGACCAATAGAGGGTTTCCCAGTTATCCAAGGAATGACGCTTCACTTGCCATATAGCTATTGTCTAGGTTACACTTCCGCTTTGGCAGTGTCAATTTCTTCCAGATTTGGACAGTATTGATTGGCTGCACAGGTCAACTAACATGCTCTGCCACAGAATGCTGTCCAAATAGGGACATAATAGATATTGCTAATGTGGAACCGTACCTTCAGCAATAGAATCTGGTGAGCAAAGGCCAGGGCACTATTGCCTGTGGGCCACTCCATTTATGTCAGTTTGTCACAGAATCAGTGAATGGTGCCAGTGGCCAGCTGGTACCATGACCACTTCAGCAGGTTGTAGTGGTCATGATGCTTAGAGTACCACTTTAACTTTGTTTTAAATTGGTTAATATTCTTAACACACGGTGCTGTAGAGTATGGGTTGCTCTTTTCTAGATATCCATGTTTCATGAATTCTATCTCTAAATACAGGATGAAAAAACAAACCCCGTCCCTGGATTTTTTAAAAAGGACTTTGTGGATTCTGGCATTGTTCTGTATAGCTACTTCACTGTATCTTCTACTGTCCCAGAGGTGGGAGGCAGGACACCTCTGCATGTGGCATGTGAGAGAGAAGATAACTACAAGGTAATATGGCTCCCAGTTCATCTTTAAGTAATTTTTGTAATTTATTTTTTTGCGCAAATATAATGATACAAAGTAGATTATATATCATTTTTATGAGGCTTAATTCTAAATGTAGAGCAATAAACATGGTACATGGTGCATGGTACACTTAAAACTGGTCTATCTATGGTCACCATGCAAATATCCAAGAACCCATATCTGAAACCCAGTAAAACATGATCATAATGCACTTAGGGTACTTTTCCTGTGAGTTAATCAGAACCATTTAGATTAACATGTAAACACCCTTAAGCATTTTCAAACATCAAACTTATTCTATCTTGGTAGAATGGTATTGGACTGGATCTTTTTGCAATTCATATTTACCGATTCTTTTCTTATTACATCCTCAACCATCACAATTCAAGACTTTGTCAAATCTAACTACATCCTATAGTTACCCTACCAGATAGCAGATAGTAAAACTTAAGAAGAAAAAAGATCTATGTTGCTGGAAGTTTGCTATTTTCTCACTCCTGAATTTGCCACTCTATGGCCGTTAACTTGCTCGCCTCATACCAGCAGAGGCAACTGGAACCGTTTTACATATTCAGATGCGCAGAAATGTACCACCAATGACACTATTTAAAGTGGTACTATCTTTTTTCCCCCCATAGTTTGCCAGGGATGTAATCTCTTTGCTCTTGAATCATAATGCCAACACGAATGTCCTATGGAGTGGTCACTCTCCCCTCTCTCTCGCTGTGGCCAGTGGAAACGACCTGGTGAGAATTTTGCAAATTTCAAATTTTCTGTTTATCTTCAGAGTCTTGCATTTCTAGGGCTGGTCATATCCAGCAGGAGGTATCCATGATTCCTAAGTAAGTTATTTATTGCCTAACTTTACTATATCATATTGGACTTCATGGATGTAAAACAAGTAAACTGTCTGTCTTCTTAATTGTGCAACCCAGTTAATGGACCATACCTTTAAATTGCTATGAAATTATGGATCTCTTTACAAACAACCCATGTGATTGACTACCAATTGTTTAGTTCAAATAGCCCTAAAACCTATTCAATTTGAGACATGTAGGTGGTACCTATGGGTGCACTCAGTAATATGTATGACAAATGCAAACATGGGTATAGAACATGGGGGTGCAAGGTACCTCAAACAGCTCCTACAAAAGGACTCGCGTGAACCTTGTATAATTGAATTATTATGACCCTCTGAGTATAGCTAAAGTGGCAAAAGCCTATATAGCTTAACCAGGGCACAGATATAATCACACCTGCGCTTTCCTTCCATGTTTGCTGCAGCACTATAATGTGCAGTTGGCAGGAGGTGGAATTGTGGGCTTGTGTTTGGGATCTGACACTAAAAGAGAGAAGCAGTTGCATGATACATGATTCATTTAATCCAGGTGCCATCTCATTGAGCAATAACAGCATAGCATTTCTAGCAGAAGGAAGAGAACTCGCATCACCAGCTATGATTTGCTGTGCAGCCTTGATTCCCTTCCCTTACACGCTCCGGCATCATCTGCAAGTAACCAAAAATGTCTTGTACTGAGTAACAAACATGGGTGAACCTGCCATTAAACCATCCCTTCATATATTGACTCCTTCCAGCCCCTAGCCGTGCAACCCTTCAAAAATGCAGCTGTAATTCTATATATTGCAGGTGCTGTGTAGATGATTAATGTACTATAAGTGATATATTGATGCTCTGTATGTGATTCCTGCCGTATAGCTGATTGATGTGTCATTGATTGGTGTCATGTTTGTATGCTGTGTATTTGTTGTTCTATGAACACTGTGCGGTCTATTTGTGGTGAAATGTGCTGTATATTTCATTGTTGTGTGGATGTTGCAGTTGATTTGTGTTTAATGGGTAAATGAAGGGTGCCATGTAGTAAATTAGTGTTGTATGGTTGATTTAGGTGCCGTGTAATACTATTCTTTTCACAATGGGGAATTCACGTTCCTTAATGCACATGTTTTATTGTGATTATCCATTATTACCCATTATTGTTATGTTTTAACTCCAGTGAGAGAATTGTCTACACATCTTCTCACAAAACAGAAAACACAGAGGTCAAAAACATGAATATTAAAAGAATTATGATGTGGAATTATAAATCAAACCAATAGGCAACAAATCTGTTTATTATACTCTCACAAAGTTTAAAACATTAAAATCACCAGTGTTAGTGATGCTTGGGTGTTGGGTCACTTTAAATTCCATCCCAGTAACACTGCTGTCTGAAAATAGAATGGATAGTTTAAGATGATTTTTTTGAGCCTGCAAATCCTGGATATTGTTGGGGATGGTATAACCTATTAAGTAACTGCAGAAATCTCAGACATTGGAGGATTAAGTATATCTATTAAGTCACATTTGTACATTAAGCATAAAGCTCCCCAGTCTTGCTATGATCTGCAGGTTGTGATTATTTTTCTTAATTTTGGACCCAGGCTATAAAAGAACTTTTAGCAAAAGGAGCAGACCCCAACATGGCTCTGGGCCCCCCGGTGGGCAGTGTACTCTGTGCAGCAGTCAGTACCACCTATGAGAAGCAGAGACCCGTACCTGTCCGCATAGGTCTGGTAAGAAAGCAATCATTTTCATTTACATCTAAATCTTTTTATCCATCAAAACTCTCCCTGAACAGCTTTTATAGCGTCATTCTACATTCCTAAAGCACTTCAGCTTGCAAGGAACCTTAGGGTTAATCCTAGTGTATTCTTTGTCACCTTATCAAAGTGCTGAATTCAAAAGAACAGGCATTTTTATAAAGTGACAAGTTGCACCTTCCCAGCTGAGAACGAAATGGGAGGGTGCTCTTCCTGATTGCATTGTGCCCAGGCACATAGTGGAAAGAAATGGATTCTATGAGAAGCACTGCAGGTGCAGCCTTTCCTGCGCATACACCCTGCCACCCATTGCTTCTCTATGAGAGGCATTCTATTAGCTGGGGATCATCAGTACTGATGGTCTCTGGCAGGTGGAGAGCGGCTACAGCAAGGGAGACCCTTTCATCATGTGGATTAAAGGGCCCACTAAAATAAGAGTACAACACTCCAGCGTTGTACATAAATGTATTTACTATTTGAAGTCTGTATTGTTAGTAGTACTTGAGTTTCTCTCTTGAAAGGATCACTGATTAGTTATCAGATTAGTCTGTTGATTACAATGTTTTGTTTTCGTAGTGTTTGTGCATTATGCTGAATTCACAGGGGAATTGTATAATTTAGGACCAAACACCACAGCTGGGCAGATTATACAGCTATCTTACCTTTCAAATGACAATTCAGTAGTGGTGAAAGGCGAAAATATATCTCATGAACCAAACCAACAGCACTACAATCTATTTATATTCTGATTTTGTTTTTTTTTGTGCTTGTTGCCTGTGCTAGCCATATACCATGCAAAGAATACACATGACCAAAAAACTATGTCTGTTTGTCCCTTACAAAATACCACAATGTTTAATGTATTCAGCAATATTGTGATATATATTGGTAAATATTTTGTTCTGTTCATAGGTGGATAAGCTGATAAAATCTGGTGCAAACATGTTGATGCCAATTACTATAGGTGCTGGGAAGAGGACTGGTTTGGGAACTGCTACAGATTTTGCTTATTACAAATACCTCCAGGTATGCTGCGCTGTACTTTCACATATATATTTTCAGTTGAAATTTAATTGTAATATAGATAGGAAGAAAGAATCAAGTTTAGCTTTTCACGTGTCCCTGCATCTGTATAGCAAATAAAAACTGTAGAAACTGTCAGAAGGGGTTACTCATTCATTAAACAGACCCTTGTCATATTGCATGCATTGCTTAATTAAAGAACCCTCCAAGCACCATAACCACTACAGCTTTATATAGTAGTTATGGTGTAAGGAGTGCCCTGACACCCCCCTCCCCCCACGACTTTTATTATATACTGAAAATGAGTTTGGTCTTGATTTGCTGCCAATCTTTCATTCTGTAGTTTACCCTGCTCGACCCTCTTTCTTTAAGTACTGTAATGGACTACAGGTTGTAGATGTGGGGAGAGGGGTAAGCATTCTGATTTTGGAATGTGAGCACTTTTCAGAAAATTAGCTAAGAGACAAGAAAACCTATTGTTCCCGTAAGTTTTTTTGTAATTGTCCTATTTATAGTTAAATCCCCCTCTCATAATATTGTAAAACGCTACGGAATCTGTTGGCGCTATATAAATGGCGATAATAATAATAAAACGAAAAGATACATATGGCTTATAGTGTTAGCTAGTTGTTTTAACATTTCATAGTGATGGGTATTAAAGTGCCATAAATCATTTACGGTGATGAGTTTACTGAGATGGATTTATGGTGCTGAGGCACATAATGTGTCTCCAGAAACAATAACTGGCATTAAAAGTGTATGTCCAGCACATTTACTTTACCACGTGAATTAATCTGTTTTATATTCGGATCAATATGTAGCCCAAATGAGGGCCAATGTCTATCCACATACCAAGATATTGATGTTTAACTGGGGACTGTTTTATTTATGGGACCCTTACTTTCTTTTTAAGCAATCATCAGTAATGTGTCCATTCAGAAGCTGTATGGTCTTTTATGTATTGCAGGACAAAAGAATAGCAAATTCTCCGTATCATACTTTGTCAGCAGACGAACGTGAAATTTACAATGAGCGCAGACAGCTGTTAGATCACTTGGGAAAGCCGACACGGGACGCTGTAACACTAAAGGAAAAAGAGTGGGCTACGGAAGGCATAGTCCGTAAGTGAACTAAATATAAGGAAAAAAGACAAATGGCAAGACTATATTATGTATGGAATAATTTGTTGAGAAAAAAAAAGCTACAAAGAATAGTGTCTGAGAATGAGTCATAGAGTGAATCCAAAGTATTGATAGTTAACACAACCATGATAAAGGTATCTCAGATTGGGTTAGAATAAAGGTATTTTGCAAGCACAATACAGCCGGTTTAAACAATGTTTCCAGAATAGTCAGTATTGTCTGTTAATGACAAATGATCAGCTATATTTTCTGATTTATGAAATACTGATCAAAGGAAGAATAAAGTGCCGCACATCTTTGGGTGACAATATTTACTACAGTTAAGTATTAAAATGTTTTCTATATATTTTTCTAGTGAAATCACCAGCAAATCAGTATATATATATACCAGTATATATATATACAAGCAATTTCACTGTCACAATACATTGATGGTTTGTTTTGTATGTAAAATGCCACTAAGCCATTTTACATAAAAAGGGGCACTTTAAAAAATAGATTTTCACCATGGTGGTAAAGAGTATGTAAACACTTGGACCAGAAATGCTCATAAAGGGATTTATTGACAATAGAATTGCATTTGTTTATAAAAATAGCCGTGCTGGAAAAGTGATTTTTTTTTCAGTTCAAGTCTTTATATTAGCTATTTTAATTCTCAGTTTAGGGAGTGAATCCCTAAGTTTATCATAAAAGGAAATATATCAGGAGACACCATGCAAATGACATACACAATCCAGGGCATGTGACGTGTAACCCTTACTTCTCTTTGTGCGATATTAACACGTGTTTGTGCAGGTGAGCCTGCATTACCCAGACACATGTTGGCTAGGAGGAACAAGGAATGGCTTGTTCGTGAAGAAAGTGCATCAACTCCCCGGTGAGAGAGATTCCATATATTTTTGTTATCCTAAATACTTTTATTGGCAAATGCTAACAATGCTAATTGATATTCCGTCCCAATTTACAGAAAAGATTTCTTCAAATACTGCTGCCAATGTGGCCGATCTCTTGGTGTCAAACTGTCTGCTTGTTCGCGATGCTATTCTGTATTCACCTGTAGCAGGCTATGCAAGAAGAGAGCTTTGGATGAATTTCACAAAGAGGAATGTCAGCTTTATACAGGTAGATCACAGCAGCGAGCAGAGTTTCACAGTGGCCATGGTACAAATAACGCTCCTCTACCTTTGGCATCATTGTGCTTTAGTGTAGGCTAACATGCGGGTGGTCCACAGATGCTTTGAGTTGAATACTCAGAGATTCGCAACTTGGAACCTTATTCAGGGGAATCCCTAGGTATCCAAAATGACAAGCAACATTCTCACATACACAATCTTAGTCGAATGCCAAAACGCCCAATTAGCACACACATACCAAGTATACCATGTTCTCTCACATACACAAACATAGTAAATGTTCGCACATACCTACATAATTTATATACACATTCTCAATAAGTGAAATAATCTCCCTCTTCTCCTGCATACCTTCATCAGAAATTCTAAGAAATATAGGGGAGTTCAGCTTTGCTGAGATAGGAGACTATCTTCATGCACAAGATAGCTACCTTAATGTACTCTGCAATCTAAATGGAGATAATGTAGGAATTCCACATTCTGTACATAGTATAAAGTCATTTATTTGCTTTTGAGTTTGTTTGTTTTTTCATTGTAGGATATCTCAGCAGCAAACCCTCTACAGGTAGAACTAAAAGGACAGGGGAAGAACTTGCAGTCAATCAAAACTACAGCTTTAACTGATTCAGAAGCATTCACAAAACATTTCATTCCATTTGATTATAATAAAGAAACCTGCATTTATTCCTGTATGATTGGAAATTAAAGGAACACTATAGTCACCTAAATTACTTTAGCTAAATAAAGCAGTTTTAGTGTATGAATCATTCCCCTGCAATTTCACTGATCAATTCACTGTCATTTAGGAGTTAAATCACTTTGTTTCTGTTTATGCAGCCCTAGCCACACCTCCCCTGGCTATGATTGACAGAGCCTGCATGAAAAAAAAAACTGGTTTCACTTTCAAACAGATGTAATTTACCTTAAATAATTGTATCTCAATCTCTAAATTGAACTTTAATCACATACAGGAGGCTTTTGCAGGGTCTAGCAAGCTATTAACATAGCAGGGGATAAGAAAATCTTAATTAAACAGAACTTGCAATAAGGAAAGCCTAAATAGGGCTCTCTTTACAGGAAGTGTTTATGCAAGGCTGTGCAAGTCACATGCAGGGAGGTGTGACTAGGGTTCATAAACAAAGGGATTTAACTCCTAAATGGCAGAGGATTGAGCAGTGATGCTGCAGGGGCATGTTCTATACACCAAAACTGCTTCATTAAGCCAAAGTTGTTCTGGTGACTTTAGTGTCCTTTTAAATGTACTGTTACCAAGTGTTAATTTGTCATCAGACATTTAATATGCCCACCATTAAGCACTGAATTGTGTGAAACAGTTTGTTTTTAAATAAAATTGAATAAAAATTCAAACTGTTCATAAATTAATAGCATTTACTCTGGGCTTTATGGGCATAGTTCATCATGATGTTCACAAATGGCTATTTTCTTTCACTTGCACTATGGGATTCTGGGAGCTTATTAGTTTAACTTATTAGTTTAACTCAGGATATCCATGGTTCTCTGCTAATCAAACCTATTACTTAATTGCAATACCAGTTGTCACTCCTTCTGCATGAAGATTAATTCAAGGTGATTAAAGTCTCAATAAGAATTACACTTTGTGAAACAATTTCAAGGAGTCCAAATCTTACAAATGGCACCTCTGGTGATAAATATTTCAAATTAATATAGACTATAACTTAGGTAGTTTAACCCCTTAAGGGCCAAACTTCTGGAATAAAAGGGAATCATGACATGTCACACATGTCATGTGTCCTTAAGGGGTTAATAAAAAAAACAACATTCATTTAAATCGTTTTTTGGGGGCAATTAGAGTCAGAGCCATTCTTCTCACTGTTCTCACATTTATTATGGAACTATTACGTTTCGCTCTCAGCAGACCAGACGAACATTACACCTACAGCATTGGGTTCAACCACCTCTTTCCCTCTCCTGTCACCAATATAAGTTCATTTGTGATTCCACTGAGATTCCAACCATGAATATGTAAGAAGAGCTTAAGTAAAAGTTGAACAAGCTTTGACAAAATGTAAGTTTAGAGACTACTTTCTAGAATTAGACTATACCAAAAGAGAAAAACATAGTATGGCCCGTAAGCTTTTAAAAAGACCATAATAAACCATTCATTCTAACAATATGTTTTACTTTTATCCTCAATGCTATTTTCTGACATCATCATAGTCTAGTCTCTAAAGCGGCATATTTAAGAATTAAATAACAATTTTCATTTAGGCTATTTGTTAACCCTCTGCAACCCTGCAGTTGTTGATTGAGTGAGGTGTTCAGTTTTGAAATAGGATGCTTAAAGATCATTGGTTGTTAATGTGTTACAATGATTGGTGATGAGATACTTCCTGTATCTCCAGATAGTTCTGTTTACATGTATTTCTTTTTCCCCACCAAACAATTTAGATTTTGTTTTTGGGTGTTGGTGAAACTGACATATTTTGTATTAACAATTACAAGAAATTACTGTTTCACCCACACCCCAAAAATCTAAATTATTTGTTGGGGGAAAAAAAAAAAAAAGAGTACTAAATATAAAGAGATCTGTTCGTGGCTTTATTTACAGATAATTAACTGGGTTTGGTAAAATGATCTCCAATTCTCTTGACTATTTTCAGTAAGTAAGTTAGGATTATTATTTTGTTCCTTTCATGAAACTCTAACTGTTGTTCACTTATTAGGAAAAAACTGAGACCATTCTTCTAACGACCCTTAATATACCATCTATACCCACTGGCACTGCCAACTGTCACCATTATTACATCAGATGGCCCATTCTAGGCTGGAAGTGTAATTGTCACTAGCGTATTTAAATTTCTATTCATAAATATAGACATTTTTAGCATGTATAAAAGCATTCTCTTTATAATAGCATTTAAATTGCCCCAATTGTGTGGATGACAAGATCAACTCTAGGTTCTTAAAAATGAATTAAAGCGGCACTGTCACACCAAACTTGTTTCCTCTTCTCTTTCTCTCTCAGAATCTTTTTATTTATTTCTAATTTAGTTTTCTTTAAAACATAAGACAAAGGAGGCACTACTTTGTCTTATTAATTTTTCATACACCTGACTTTCTTTCATCAATGGAGGAACTCTCTCATTGACACATGAAATGGAGCAGACTTAAGCTCCTCCTTCAGTCAAAGAAAGTCAGGTGTAGGAAAAATGCATAAAGAGAAAGTAGTCCCTACTATGTCTTATGTTTTAAGGAAAACTAGATTAGAGATAGAGAAAAGAAGAACAGATTCTACGAGAGGAAGAGAAGAGGAAACAATAGGAGAAAGGTAAGTTCAGCGTGACAGTTCTGCTAAGTGCTAATCAAATGTAAAGGTTTAAGGAAATAATTTACCCAGCGTTTTTTATTCCGTGTCTGGTCACCTGGTGCTACGTATCTGAATTCTGACTCCCACAGACATCAGTTGCCACAAATGCAAGCCATGGGTATTTGTTTCTGCTGCCGGGCCTGGGTTATTAATCTGATTTACGTTGCCATTTGTGTTCCGGGTATTTGTACTAATGGCAAGCAAAGGATTATAGTACAGAAAATAATTAAAAAAAACAACGAAATAACAGGGATACTTAGGAGACACATTTACAGTAAATGAAGACTTTATTATGTTTGTTTTTTTTTCAACTGCTGAAAATGCAGACATAAGGACAACAGAGGTACCCTTGTGAAAGATATGGTGCAAAGGTCGTAATACAGGGCCACCTTCAGCCCATACAAATATGAAGGAATTGTATAGTACTCACACAATAACAGCACATCCCCAGTCTCTACCCTTAAGACATCCTGATAACAGATCGTGGATCCAGTAATAAAATATCGGACACAAATATTACCTGGAACCTTTCCCTTTCGCAGTGTGAAGAATAAAAAATATTGACTAGCAGAAGTGCAAGAACAATTAGAAGAAGAGAAACAATGACTGCATATGTGTTGGCTCTGCTCCTTAACATCACTCTGACACCCTATATGCAAATTAAATACTGCACTGGAGAATAATTGATTTGCATATGAGGCCATGTGGCAATGTTACAAATGGGATGGGATCAACACATGTATTCCATTGTCTATACACATACCTAGGAACATACTAGTTTTACCAGGTTTCGTAAGAGGTTGAGTGAATTAAATTTCAAGCGTGGTATTTAGTACCAGTCACTCTCGTTTTGGCTCATGCCATGATTAATAAAACCCATCTCACTTTAGGTTTGCCCTACCCACTTTTAGTTTGGTCCCACCCACTTACACAGTGGACAGCATTAGTTTTGCCGGAGACCACACCTTTCCTGAGATATCTCCAAGCGAGCCAATTTTAATGTTCCTATTATGTCTGTACATTTGCTTGAAAAGCGGCCTACACTGTATAAAGAGCTCATCGCCACTGTCCTGAAGCCAGGGACATACATTTATAATTAATCCTACAGTGGTTAGTTATCAAAATGCCAAAAAAAAAAAATTTTTCTTGATAACTTGGCTACATGGATTAATTTGACCTTAAAAACATCCCTCAGAGTTTATTTTTGTTTATTTTTTTTATTTTATTTTTTACTAGACCCCTATTTACATCTCCCAAGTCATGCCACTTATTGTATTTTTTTACTGGAAAATGAAACGACTCAAAAATGTGAATGTTAAAAAAAAAATCTTTGAACATATTTCCTACCCACCATCTGAAAAGCTCATCAAAAACATTCATTATAACCTGTTAGCAACAAATTCAATCATAGTCTCAAATTTGATCGAAAGTGTTAAATGGAAAGACATCAGCATTTCTATCTATTCACAAAATCCAAGTTCCCCCAAATGCAACGTCCGTTTTTCTATTATACAAATAATGTTGTGCTTATTAATCCATTTAATGCAATGTTTATATTAAAAAGTAATTCCGCCATAGATCATGATGTACGAGAATTTTAAATGAAAGACTATAATACAATAGCATAGCAGAAAAAGTGGGTCCATAGTGATTTTGTAATGCACAGTATTTTTTCACTAAATGCAAGAAAACTCTCAGCGCTGGAAATCAAAAAAAATTTGTTTAAAAAAAAACAAAAAAAACCCATCCCATATATTATATAGAAACAGGAAATTGCATAAAATGCTTCTGACGGCTTTTCCATATATATGTATAGAACTGTATGTCTTTTAAACTAATAAATATTTTCCATTTCTGATATTTATTTTAAAAAAATGACACAGAATTAGTGAAATTTGCATCACTTATAACAATTGTGTCCTATCAACCCAAAAAAAAAAAAGAAAAGGCAGACATATTTTATCTGTTTTGCAAAATATAATACATAGTTACATAGGAAAAAAGTTAAACAAAACCCCTAGAGGCAGTTTGATCCTGCAGAAGAACACAGTGTTAAAGTGACCATCGTCAGCACTCATCCCTCTTCCATTGCCATTTTATGAAGAAGGCCATGTTTAGTTTGAGCAAAGAAGACTGCATTCCCTTTACAATGACTATTCAACATTTACCATCTGGCCATAAGTAGAGCTGGAAGAAGCAAGACAAAGTCCCATGAACGCAGTGAAGTGCCCTTCGCTGATGCACCCTTTCCAGGAACGTTTGGTTCCCCGTGTGCTACTGGCTGTGAAAGTTTTGTATCAACTGAAAGCTTTTTACCGCAGACATCCTCTGGACAACCATCTCCGCTGCCAGAACCGCTGATATCATCACCTACAGAGACACAATAAATGTGGATACATCGTAAAGGTTCTGTGATGTGCATGCAGGCAATATTTCTACAGATAGCTACATCTGAAATGGATACGGAGAAGATAAGTTGGAACAATGGGAGCAATGAGATGAATTCTGAGAAAGCTGGAATAACAAAAAACAAAAAATTGGCTCTGCAACCCTACCCAGAGCACAGATTAAACAGACCCTTTCAGGCTAAACTTAATATAGGGAACAATGAAGAATAATAGTAGCCTTCTACCAAGTATGGTTAACTTGAGGACCACTTAGTCACAAGGCCAACAAACAAAAATGTTGAAATGTACTTTATAGTGCATTCTCAAAAAGTTACAGACAGCACATGATTGGTCATAAAAAGGAAAACAAAAGACAATGTGCATTCTGGGTAAAACAGTAAGTTATTTCCCAAAGGAATGTCATTCAATTTTCCTTTCCATAGTTGCCTTGTATTACTGTGTTACTAGTGCACATCTTTTTAAGATGATAATACATTTTAACTTAAACCCAGTGTGTCTGAAAGCTAATTATGCAGATTGTTAACAAACCACAACAAAAAAACCCAAAAAATATTATATTGTTTTTTAACCGATTACTCCAAAATTGCTCCCAATGTTCCAATGAACCATTCTCACCAGCTAAGAACAAAAAACTGATAGTTCCTTTTAATATGACATTATAAGAAATAGGCTATTGGAACTCAGTTGTGCTCTGGAATAACTAGGGAACACCCAGTACCCTGTGAGAGTGTAACATTTATTATAAAACCAAAGTACACTGCCCCCAATGTGATGTATTGAAGTAAATGTAGAGAACAGCAATGCCTTTTTTCAAGGAGCCTGTGGGATGTAATGAATAATAAATGCCATACTATGAGATGTATAATAATTCTTAAATGGACCCAAACTGGGATAATTCTTTTTACTGTGAATTTTCATAGAATGTTCAAGGGACTTAATTTCTTGGCAAAGTATGTCAACAGCTCACTAACAGGGACTATAGAATATGTAGAAATCATACCTAAACTAGGAAGGGGTTATAATCACCAACGATGTAGGTGCACCTAGTTCCCCTTGCACTATCTCCAAAACTACGATAACAGTGATGGGCAACCTTGGTATGAACTACATTTCCTGTGGTGTAGAAGAGGACTTGACAAATTTGCTTTGAAACTAAAAAAGTTAGGAGCCAGATTTCTTTTACTTACATAGCTTTATATTCAAGGACAAAAATACAATTATTGAAGGGACACGATAGTCACCAGGACTACTACAGCTTAATGTAGTGGTTTTGGTGTCTATAGCCTGTCCCTGCAGGTTTTTCAATATAAGCCATGGTGTAGAACCCCTTAATTTGAGAAGAACAGAGACTGTGCATGCAGAGCTTATCAAGAATCCACCTGCCCCATTACACTTAAACCTTTGTAGTGCTGAACTAAACAAGGCCAAAGATCCAGACTCATCAGACTAGAATGAAAAGAGAACCCTGGCTCCTTAAACTACTTCCTGGAGTCGGCAAAGTTCAAACCTTTGTGTGCACAAAAACAAAGAACTTTAAAAGTGATGATCTTCTTTATTTTAAATTAAAGTAATTGTAAAACAGACTTTAGTGCACCACATTTACAGTTAATTACACAGCACAATGTATTTGTGTTGTTTTTTTTTTTTAAAAAGGGGACTTTTCACCTTTAATCAGACACCTTTCAGGGAAGCAGTATAGCATATTTTAATAAGAGCCATGCCGAGATGTAGGCTGCCCTTTATACATGAGCAGCCTTGCAGAAGATATTCATGTAAAATGCAGGATACAATTAGAGAGAATTGCTATAAGAAGTCTTTTCAAGTTCTAAAGAGGTTTGTCCCTTTAACAGGGTTTCCACTGAATTAAATAACAAATGAGCGAAGCAGATATATTAGTAAATAGTGACTTCTACCTAGTACTGGAAATTACACGGGTTCCACATATAGATGTTTTGTTTTTTTCACTCTACCCTTCATGGCTTTAGGGATTAATTTTAATTCACACAAGATCAATCTTTGTCTTGGCATTTCATTCATCTACTTACTGGTGTCTTGAAAATCAACATCGTTTCCATTGTATGCGTTGCGGAGGCGGTTTGTCATTATTTTTAACTGCATTATTTGCTGACGGATGCTCATGTCAGGCTTAGTAATGTCAACATCGACCTCAGGATTGTTAATTTGATTGGCGAGACCGTTTCCCATACGCTCAGGTATATACCTTTAAAAAAAATTCACGGGAATCAGCATTCAAATTTCCAGTTTAGCATAGTTATTACCTACATCTTTTATTTCCCTAAAATTACATGTTTTATCTATTCATTTATCCTACAACAAACTGATACATTGCAGTATCCCTGTTAGATTCCATATGTCTGTAAAGTATATACGCCATTAAAATTAGCTGCTGCCTGAGTGTATAACAATTATTGTAGCACTATTAAAGGGACACTATAGGGACACTATAGTCACCAAAACAACTTTAGCTTAATGAAGCTGTTTTGGTGTATATATCATACCCATAGATCACTTTGTTTATGTAGCCCTAGGCACATGTTTCTGCATGTGACTTACACAGCCTTCCTAAACATTTCCTGTAAAGAGTCGTTTAATATTTACACTTTCTTTATTGCAAATTCTGTTTAATTTTGAATTTAATTTTGACTGCTCTGTCAATAGCTTGCTAGACCCTGCAGGAGCCTCCTGTATGTAATGAAAGTCCAATTTACAGAGCAGAAGATACAAATGTTTAAAGTAAGTTACATCTAATTAAAAAAGGAAACCATTTTGCTTTCATGCAGACCGTGTCAGTCACAGCCAGGGGAGGTGTGACTAGGGTAGCATAAACAGACACAAAAGTGATTTAACTTCTAAATGTCAGAGAATTGAGCTGTGAAACTTTAGAGGCATGATCTATACACAAAAACTGTTTCATTAAGCTAAAGTTGTTTTGGTGACTATACTGTCCCTTACCAATATTAGCACTATTTATAGTATTTATTTAATAGTTATTTTTGTATAGTACTTTAGATATTTCCATTTTTAAATAACAGCTTACAGAGAGATGGCTTATGGGGAATTTAAACTGGGAACATATATTTCTGTTTACCTGTCCTGGCCATGTGATGGAAAAATATATAATTTTGAAGTGTAACCATCACCTCCCATGACTTTGAATATTATGTTTACTTCTTCCCTATGTTAAATAAATATGTACTTGTGAGGCCTGACAAATTAAATTAAATGCAGCAATATATACCTCTTTATTGACTCCCTGTCAGTCATAGTTGGATTCTCTGTTGAGAAGAGATGAACGAAAAACATTGGGGGAGATTTAGCAAAGTACTCGGTTTGATAAAATGGTGCAAAAATATAAAAGGGGTGTGGGGGGGGGGGGGTCATCATTGGAATGTGCCTGCTGGTATCACTATGTTCTAGCAGAATGCACCCCATATAGTACTTTAGATCACTTTTTAGAATACTTTGATAAATCTTCCCAAATGTTTTTGTTTCCAATCCTCCAATGGAATGTGTCCCCAAGCTGTGACTTGTAGTCACAAAAAAAAAAAAGTGTTAATGCAATTTATAGGTGATTTCCAAAGATTCATTTAAGATTTAGTTTCCAGATTGATTTAATAGTGGATGTTACCACATTGAATCTGAGAAACTGAAACTCATTTTAAATAATTATATTATGGCCTCACTTTAATTTTTTTTTGCATACACTTTTAAAAATATGCTTTAAATATATAAAATAATATTAAAAAAAGATTGAAAAAAATACAATATAAAAATATTTTTTCTAATTATTAAAGCATTTTAAAGGTTTAGCCAAATATATTAAATAATTTGAAAAGCTTATTATTATAAGCCATATGAATTAGGTAAATACTTTATGACTTTCCTCTATTGAGGTTATTTACTAAGCTTTGAATTACTGAGAGTAAATAAATTATAAACAATGGCAATGCAAAATTCAGACCCAAAACAGCCAAACTGGGAAATGTCTCAATTCAGCTATTTCTGCATTTCAGGAGTAATTTTGCGATGCCATTGACATTTCTTTAAAATTCACAATATGAAAATCCCACATGTTTAGAATGCCTCTGTCATGCAGTTATGGTACTATGGAATTTTACACGATGTGACATGTCTTCTATACATTGTGCTAGCCAAACTGAAAGCATGTACATAGGTGCAATTTTATGTGTATGTATTTTAGTCAGTTGTGTGTTGTGTATTGACCCTGCAGGCATTTCTTTCGGTAGCAGTTCTGGGAATCTGTTAGCTAATCTTTAGACTGATTTTGTTCTTGAAACACTGTAGAAACAAAAAGACGTAGCACTCACCTTAAATTGTATCCGGGACATAGTTTTGTTTTTACAACGTTTTGATATTTGAAGGTATTTCAGAGTTTATCGGGGTGTCAGTGTATCTTTCAGATCTTTTGAGGTTTTCACTATTGGTTGTGCATTTTTTATGGGTTTGTTCTAGGTCTGCATGGTATGAACTGTTTTTTTTTTTAATGCAACACACTGCATGCCTTTGTTTTATACTTTTATTCTGTATTTAGTTTTGTAGACTATAACCAATGTTAGCTCTAATGGCTAGTGCACCAACTATAAGGTCTGTTCAAGCATCGGAGCCACTAACTATCTTCCTGACGGAGTCATCTTCAACGTTCCGAGGACAATCAAAGAAGCCTTTTCAGTGCTGTCATTACATTTGTTTCTAGGACTTACACAAGAGAAATCTCAATGTATTCTTCTTGATTATTTATTAAATAATTCAGGATATGGAATAGGCTTCGGGGCAGATGCCTTGTCAAATGATTGCAAACAGTTTCAGTAAACAAGTATCTTACCTTCCCTTATTGTTTCCATTCCAACATCTGTCCTCGTTGGCAGGGCCTGCCGTGATCTTTTCGTTGCAAAACAAATTCGGGAGAGAAACCCAATAATCTTGGTAATCGCTAAGCATCATTTTAATATCCGAGACCTACAGAACATATATACAAAATAAATAAATGTACAAGCCAGAGACATGCGAGGTTTGTAGGTAAATACAAGCAATATGGTTTAATGACTTGTAAACGTAATTGATTAAGCACAGTTTGATTAAATCAATCGTCAAGATCTTCTAAAGGTTGTATTCATATGGATAGTATGGACATCCTTGGAATAATTCAGTCTGATCAATAATTAAATAAACTCCCACTGATAAATCAATACAAAATGTCATCTTTTGGCATCACGTTGTCATTCAAACCAGATATTGAACAGTGAGGGGTTTGAACTATGCATTACAGTTACCAAGTTATTAGTAAATGTGCTGATCAAAACAATAATTAGATACACAGTGTTTTCTGCTGGCGAGGTAGCTTAGATAGAAGGGCTCCAACTGCAGTATATCACCCAGGTCAATGAACTGGGTACAATCAAATTGGGTAATACATCTAGACACCAGGAAACTAACAGCAAGCTAACTGTACTTAAGTATGATTATTACTTTAAATCCACATGTAACTGACATACATGAGTAATCAAGCACCCTGAGAATGAACACGGCGTGAAATTTTGGACTGCTGGAGCCCAGAGATACCCCCCTGATTTAGCTGTATTTATATGTGTAAATGTAAATGTGGAAGGAATACGTGCAGAAGGCAGGATGTGATGATAGTACAGAAAGGCACTGACCAGATTCTCTGCAGATCCCAAAGATGATTTATCTTCCTGAATACCTTTCCCTCTTCGTCTTCTCTCTTCTGATTTGGAGCTTCTGTTACTTTTTTCTGTGTTAATTTTTTCTGGATTGCCACAAACTTTAAATATCTAGAAAGGAAGAAAACCAATCACATATTTCAAGATGTCTGTTCACATGTTAAACTGATTGGATTTTGAATTTTACGTATCATTTTATATTTGTAAAATTACATTTTGTGCACATAGCATGTGCCCTGATTGCAATTATCTAGAATATACAAAGACCAAAGCACCTATAGCACTCTCTGCTCCCCCCCCTCCTGCAAAGTCCAATAAACACAAGCACATCTCAGCAGCATTAATGCTGATCGCTTCAATCCGTGTGTTTGATTTAGGGTTTAGGTAACATCGTGTTTATCAGTCTCATCATGTTCTGCATAGCAATCTGGACAAATCTAGTTTACTGTTTGTTCAAGTAATTGAACAGAAATTGAACATTGCATAGATTATTGGAAGCTTTTCACAACATTTAGAAGCTGTGATGCACTAAAGCATTATAACGTACAAAAAGATTTACTCATTCATATTCATGTCACCTTGTGTATTTCCGTCCAGGAGATCAGTTTTAGACAGGCCATATCTCATAATATTTCCATTAGAATAATACTGCAACCTATAATGCTACTTCCCTCAATAATAATACTTCCCTCAACTCTGAGAGCAATGTGCTTACACATTCCCTGATTGCAGCACACTCACCGTACAAAGAAGGGCTCTCCCCAAAATTCATGTCTGAATATTCATACTCAAAGTGGTGCTCTCATAAGTCAGACCTTACTGCCACCCACTTCCTAAATGTGTGGCTACCCAGAGTTAAAGTCTGGATGTCCTCCCCATAGTATGCGTCCATCTTCCCTCAACAAAATGTGAATCTAAATAACTTCCCTGTAGTATGCGTCTAACATCCTTCTCCACAGTGTGAGGCAAATACTCTCCCCACAATGTTAGTCTAAATTCCCTCCCCACAATGTGAGTCTAAATGCCCTCCCAACAATGTGAGTCTAAATGTCCTCCCCACAATGTGCGTCTAAATGCCCTCCCAACAATGTGAGTCTAAAGGTCCTCCCCATAATGTGCGTCTACATGCCCTCCCCATAATGTGCGTCTAAATGCTCTCCTGATAAAGTGAGTCTAAATGCCCTCCCCACAATGTGAGTCTAAATGCCCTCCCCACAATGTTAGTCTAAATTCCCTCCCCACAATGTGAGTCTAAATGCCCTCCCAACAATGTGAGTCTAAATGTCCTCCCCACAATGTGCGTCTAAATGCCCTCCCAACAATGTGAGTCTAAATGTCCTCCCCATAATGTTCGTCTACATGCCCTCCCCATAATGTGCGTCTAAATGCTCTCCTGATAAAGTGAGTCTAAATGCCCTCCCCACAATGTGAGTCTAAATGCCCTCCCAACAATGTAAGTCTAAATGTCGTCCCCACAATGTGCGTCTAAATGCCCTCCCCACAATGTGCATCTAAATACCATCCTCATGAAGTGAGTCTAAATGCCCTCCCCACAATGTGAGTCTAAATGCCCTCCCCCCAATGTGAGTCTAAATATCCTCCCCACAATGTGAGTCTAAATGCCCTCCCAACAATGTAAGTCTAAATGTCCTCCCCACAATGTGCGTCTAAATGCCCTCCCCACAATGTGCGTCTAAATGCCCTCCTGATAAAGTGAGTCTAAATGCCCTCCCCACAATGTGAGTCTAAATGCCCTCCTAACAATGTAAGTCTAAATGTCGTCCCCACAATGTGCGTCTAAATGCCCTCCCCACAATGTGCATCTAAATACCATCCTGATGAAGTGAGTCTAAATGTCCTCCCCACAATGTGAGTCTAAATGCCCTCCCCCAAATGTGAGTCTAAATGCCCTCCCCACAATGTGCGTCTAAATACCCTCCTGATAAAGTGAATCTTCCACTTTTGAATTGGTATATGATTTTATGTCTAAAGGCATTACTAAACATGGCATTGCTTTTGTTTACTCCATACAGGAGATGCTTATTGTTTTTTTAGTGTACTGTGGCTCCCTAGCACTTGCACTAATCGAAGGGGATCCCAAACTAAAAAACAGTCTATCCAATATCTCAATGTACGAATCTCCAAGTCCACTCCCAGACACTACTAGGGAAAGAACCACAAACCCAACCAGCCCTTCATCTGGATTTGGTAAAAAATGATTTACCCTTTTTCTCAGGTCCCCACTGGGCTCAAAAGCTCTGCGCTTCTCAGCTGATGCGCTGCTCCTTCTGACTACTCTCAGCCAAGGAATGGCACACTATGCCAAAGGTGTACACAGAATTGCCATAATCCAGCCTGGAACTCTTGATCCAGGCTGGCTGATGATGCCCCAATGACAAAGTTGGAGGAGGAGTAACACCACTGGCAGGATAGGGTTAAGGGGACACTGTAGTTACTGTATCTGCTTCATCTAATCAAACTGGCTACAGTGTCCCTTTAAACTCCATATGTTCAGTGTTTCAAAGAAAAGCACTGCACATGCAAACTCCAGGCACCATGACCACTTCAAATCATTAAAGTGGTCAAAGTGCTCGGATTAACCTTTTAAGTTCTTTACATTTCCCACATGTGGATTATATCCAGTAATGATATATATATATGTAAGCTTGAATTGTATTGCTCACCTTGTTTGTTATAACTTCCCTGTTTTCTTGCATGTAACTTATCGCTTCAGAGATCTTTGATGGAATCGATGCCATAATGTTTACCACGTTAGAGGGGCCACTAAACTTGTCTGCCACCAATAGCAGGGACTCTGGGGAAAAGATTGATAAAGAAGTTGAATTGTACAACACACACTACAAAGTTACTGTTACAATTTTTACACTGTAACTTGCAGTCACTGCATTGTAGCCAGTCACTTTAAAAATAAAAGATACAAGGTGAGGTTAAATACATTGCTTCCATATGGTGGCCTCAGCCTGTGATTGGTACTTACCAATGAGATTTCTCCATTCAGAATCCAGATCAGCCTGATTGGCAAGACAGCCACACATAACATTCCAGCAGTAGTTCAAACATGGCTTTGTGCCAGAGAGCCCTTGGCAGTGAGGGCAATACACAAGTTTCAGGAGTGCACGTGTACATTCTGCGCTCATTGGAACCTGCAGGGAGGGAACGGACTATAGTTATTCTAATTATAGTCGTTGCTTCATATGGGAGATAGCCAGTACAGATAATGCAGTCATGTAAACTTATTATGAACACTCCCCTATAAAGTGTTCATAATAAAGGAGACAATGATTCACCAACTGTGCTGCTGTAAAACATATTTTCGGCATAGAATCCAGAAGGGCAATATTTAGATTAATTCCTGAAACGTTGTAACTACTTAAAAGATAAGTATTACTAGGCTCAAAATCAAACTCAATACTTCCCATGCGGAATTTAATGATTTAATGTCAATGTCTAGTGTGATATTAAAATGTCAAGAGTTCTGAGTTGGAATAGACAATAGGCTAAAATTAAATTGATTATTACTGAATACTTATGGCAGCAGCTTCCCCAGTTCTCTTTTGGGTTTTGGAATTCCAGCTGACTTTCACTGACTTTATTAGCAAATAGGGGATCAATTAAATCCTTCACTACAGAATGTTTAAGTTGTAAAAAGTTAAAGGACCACTAAAGACAACTTTATCTCAATAAAGTGGTCTGGGTGCAGTGGTCCTGTCATTTTAACCCTGCAATGTAAAACACTGTAGTTTTGTAGAAAAATCGATGATTACCCTGCAGGGTTAAATACACTTTTAGTGGCTGTCATACTGACTGTATTCCATACTGATAGCCACTAGAGGCGCTTCCTCCTCTAGAACCAAGTGAATCTCAGTCCTGGAATCAAATGCTGACAGCAGGATTAGGGATTAGGACAGTTAGGGCCGCCCTGAGGACATGATGGTGCGTTGTGGCCCTTTAACAGTACGATCAAGTCCCTCTCAGACTGGCAGCCTGGGAGGAAGTGAGAGCCAGTCACCTCCTCCCAGCTACATAGAGAGTTGCAGCTCCAGCAGAGGAGTCCCAGTGTTGGAAACAGGGTAAGTGATCATTAACTGAGTTTCTTTTAATAGCAATGGGGAGTAGGTAAACAGAAGGGTACCTATCGTCCCCCCAAAAAACAATTGTTATCTTATTCTCTGTAAAGGGCTAACTAAACAGTGAAATGTGGTGATTTGAAAAGTGATTTTAGGTAAAATAGCCCAGCTGTGACTACAGTTGAGTTTTGTTTTGTTTTTTGTTTTTTAAATCAGCAAATTTTGCATTTCAGTTTGAAATCACTACAACTCTCCTTTAATCAAATAACACTGAAGTGTAAAATGCATTTCGATACTGGAACGCATAGCTAGCAAAGCAAGGGTAATTCAGCAGTTTTGCATATAGATTGCTGTTCTGAGATCCCTAAATATGATCTAATTTTCTGGAAAAGTGTCTGATACAGATCTTTTATACAGAATAACCAGTGAGTGTGAAATGCCAAATCAGAAATAAAACAGAACGAAACAGGTGGTGTAAAAAAAAAAAAAGATGTAATTCTTCCTATGAGTTATAATAAAATGTAAAAAAAAAAACTCATTGTCCTGGAATACCATCCAGGGTATAGTGATTATTATCAATGTTTTTAAATGGAATCCTCTCAAAGCAATGTTTAGAAAAATAGATAATATTTAGTGCAAGAACCTCTGCTATCTTTCTCTTGGGTTGATATTAATTGCACAAGGTCTAATCTTTCCCCTATGAGGAGCTCTAAACTCATAAGGCACTAATGTTTAAATTGTCAGGAATTCAAAGTGCATTTAAAATCGTAGGCTACAATTGTAGAAGTGGATGCATAGCTCTGCCCGTGACCACTTCCTGTCCGTTGTCCGCACCCGTACGGCCAACTCACGCTTGCAGGACTTTTCGCGGGCGGCTCCCTTCCTATGGAATAGCATGCCTCCCCTAGTTTTCAATCGTTTAAAAAGTGTCTTAAAACCCATCTCTTTAGGAAAGCTTATGGCCTCCCAGATTAACCTCTACCTCACATACCTGTCTCTTGCTCTCTCCTAAAGGACAGTCCACCTTATTTGACTGCAAATTCCTGTCCTATTGTGTTTTACACCCCACCTCCTATAGAATGTAAGCTCATTTGAGCAGGGTCTTCTCCAACCTATTGTTCCTGTAAGTTTTTTGTAATTGTCCTATTTATAGTTAAATCCCCCCTCTCATAATATTGTAAAGCGCTACGGAATCTGTTGGCGCAATATAAATGACAATAATAATAATAATATTAATAACATAGAAAGTTTTTCAAATAGCCTAAAACTTCAATTTGTTTTGAATTCCTATCACGCTACATATTAGTGAGTAAAAAAAGCTTTTGAGCTTTTTGTTAATTTTGTATCAGTTACCAGCAGAGAGTGCTAGAGCAAAATCCTTGGGAAAAAAAAAGGATGTAAAACTCACAAACTCCACCCGTGACAGGCGATTCAGGACATTTTAAATGAAGTGAAATTTGTAATGCTAGGGTGGTAACAAAGAGACTGCAGTGTGATAATTGCACTGATTTTTTTTTTTTTTAGCTAATTCCATACTTTGAGGTTACTTAACCCCATTCTTCAATTCAGATGGCGTGGGAACATGGGACGTAACCAGCTCTGACATTCTGTAGCTAAGACACAAAACATTTTATTTGCCTTTTACCAGGAGTGATTATCTGGAATATATCCGGCTCTCATTGAACTACAGTTCTCAAAAAATACTGTGGTCTATTCACAAAAAGGTTATCCGCAAATCATGAACTCAAGCAATTTAAAGAGAATTTGTTCTAAAATAAATTTTGAAGTTTTAAGTTGAGATATCGCACACAGCACATCTAGCACAATGTGTGTCACAAAAAGCCCTCTTTTCACTGATTGTGGGGCCTCTTTAATATGCAGCCAGTATATCGTGAGAGCATTCATAACCCAGCTTGCATGCTGATTTCGGCACAGATCGTTACATAAGAACGTATGTATCTATGTATAAATAGACCTCTTTACATTCATTTTGGGCCCTCTATTAAATAAGGCCAAAGGAAACAGACTAATGTTACATAAGTTTTGTCCAAGAACAAGTATTGTGAAAGAATGACACAGAGGCAATCCTTACTAAAAATCCCTGCATTCTTCTGACATCAAACGGGATTGCAAAGAGTTAGTCTTCCCAGGGATTCCTATAAGATGATTGCTGTTTAAAGGGATACTCCGGGCACCAATACAACTTTAATGCATTTGATAGATTTTGACCTCATTCATATGCTGTATTTTTTTGCATGCTTACACAAAAATGATAAAAAAAACATTTTTTTTGCAGAATTCTGCCCCATAAGCCTGCCTCCTTATCCACACCCCCTCATTCCAAAAATACTTTGTTATCAAAAGTATGCACACAGTCTCAACCTCAACAGAACTGAGCAAGTGACTTTTAATTTACAACCAAACAGGAAGTGATATCCTTATTATATGCCTCCGTGGGTGCCCTCTCCTTCTAATACAGGTTGTTTTGGAGTTCAGATCATTCAATACTGTCAATGCCTGAGCTGTGTGTATACCTTTTAATAAGGAAGCTTTTCTGGCGTGAGGGGGTGTGACTAAGGAGGCTGGCTTATCGTGCAGAACTTATTTATTTTATGCAAAAACTATAAAGATTTGTGCATAAAAAAACTAAAATACAGCATGTTAATAAGGCCAAAACCTATGAAATGCATTAAAGTATGTATTGGTGTTTGAAGTGCCCTTTAGCATATTGAAGCCCAAACATGTTTATTGATATATTGACACATTTAATAAAAACTCTTTATAAACGTCAGCAGAACAAACGCTGAAAGCATAATATGATGATTCCGTGGCTATGAACAATCTTTTTTTTAGAGGGACCACTGATGACACCTGTGTGATTGAAAAAGTTTGTTCTAAAAAAATTAGAACATTGCTCACCCATTTGCCACTCAAAATATTAAATCTGTCATCAGCACCCTTATCTCATAGACATGTTTCCTTGTATTTACCTTATATATCTCGTTCACATACCTGCGTAACTCTCCTGACAATGTCAGCAGCTGCACTCAGGCCTTGCACAAAGGAACGGGCAGCAATAAATGCACGAGTTGCTTTTAGCTTCACGTCTCGTGGAATGTCCCCAAATTGCTTGAGTTGGTCGTTTTGTTTCAAGCAGTCCACGTACTCATCTGTAATGGACAGCTGGGGGTTTTGCGCCTTGAAAAGAAGCTCTAGCAAACGGCTCCAGAAATCATTCAAGGATTCCTCCAGACTGACTCCAGAGCCACGATAATATCGTCGCAGTTCGGAGAACAAATCCCTGAATCTCCTCTCGTTCTGGCTGTAAAGATCGCCATACATATTTGGAAATGTGTCCTGGAGAATCTGCTCCGACTTATTCAACAGGTTCTGGAAGTAAACTGTATCAAAACAAAACATGTTATACTTGATGCATATTTATATTGGTTGTTATACTTTACAAAAGTGTGTATAACATAAAATTAATATAAACCATCTACAGTAAATCAGGTATCTGCTTAACTGGATGGAACAGCCTGTCTACCCCCGTCAGACTCTCCCCTAGTCTTCAATCCTTTAAGAAGTCCCTCAAAACATATTTTCAGGAAAGCTTATGGCCTCCAAGAGTAACTTCTTTCTCACAAACCTGCCTCTTGCTCTCTCCTAAAGAGCCACATTCCACTCTCGCCTCCAGTGTGCTACTTTCCCACCATGTTTATTTGCAGTCTCTCTCAATACCATTCTTATTGTGTTTTTATACCCCACCTTCTCTAGACTGTAAGCTCTTTGGGCAGGGTCCTCATCTACCTATTGTTCCTGTCACACTTCGTTATTGTCTCATTTGTTAAATTCCCCTTTCAATGTAAACCGCTGTGGAAAAAGCTAGCGCTATATAAATATCAATAATAATAATATGCTGTAGGCTGTTTTACACCCCATTTTATTAGTGCATTAGGGAACTACTGCATTATATATGGAAAAAGATAAATACATAATAACCAAGATTCCCACCTTTGATTTTTATACATTTCTGCAAATCTGCACCTGCTAGCAAGTGACTGAGATGCCTCTACCACTAACCGATAAACCTCTTGTGGCATTACTTACCTCCACTGAGCCGTGCAGACCTCCTCCTGTCGTGCGGTCTTGCTGAACCATGCGGTTGCGCGGCAGGACATAAATAGATGTGGATGGGACGTCACGCACACTCTTAAAGTGATCACGTCATCACTGCAATCCTAATCTGTTTTGAATCGCAGTGATGACGTGGGCCTATCAGAACATAGGTAAGCCTATTTAAGGCTTGTTATAGCCCCCATTAATTGCCCTATTGTGGTTTCTGTTAAATCCTCGTTTTTTGCTCCTAGTGATTCCCTAGTGATTTCCTGTGTTTGACCTCGGCTTTGTATTTGACTCGTGATTTCTGGTATCCTGACCTTGGCTTCGTATTGACCTTGTGATTTCCGGTATCCTGACCTGGCTTCATATTGACTTTGTGATTTCTGGTATCCTGACTTGGCTTTGTATGGACCTCGTGATTTCTGGTATCCTGACCTGGCTTTGTATATTGACCTCATGATTTCTGGTATCCTGACACGGCTTTGTATTGACCTCGTGATTTCTGGTATCCTGACCCGGCTTCGTATTGACCTTGTAATTTCTGGTATCCCGACCCGGCTTCGTATTGACTCTGAGTATTTCTGTTATCCTGTCCTTGATTTATCTTGACCTTGTTTCTTGTAGTATTAATACATTGTCTGGCCATTCTAAGGCTTGGTAATACGTCTTTCGGATCCACCTTTTGTGGGTTTCCTCCTTCCTGCGTATTGGGGTACGACTCCCGTGACAACTCTGCCCAGCAGGGTTTTATAGAATATGTAACACATCAGTCTTTAGTAGTTTATTCATGAAATAAAATGAATAAAACTACTTGCAAGTTAGTAGAAGCCTATATTTATGCTGTTTCATGAATGACCTGTCCCTGCCTGTATATTCAACATAAGCTTGATTAAATATATAAAAGAGCTTTTACAAGTTACATATATTGGATTGTTCCTTTAGGTATAAATAGATGCTCCTCTTGTTTTCAAATATGTAATTATCATCCAACTCACTGGTTATTCTTTTTATCTGCCTAGGAAAAGTAGAAGGCTATATGACTCTCCTGGGAATAGAGCATTTGACCATGAGGATTGACCATGTTTTTTGACAATGATTTTAAGTTGTGCATAAAATAATTCAGACTAGAATTAGACTTCATAACCAAGATTTAGCTTGGAACTGGGATTTTCAACTGGAACTGGGTTGGTGTTTGAAGTGAATGGCACAGTTCTAAAGGAATATATCAGTATCACAGGGAATTCTAAAATGTCTCAGACACTGACTGATACACATTTTATATTCTTATCCAATGAAAGATATTCTTACTGTCAAATTTCCTGTACTGTGCGGCGAATGATCCCTGAACAGACAGACTGGATTCTTTCAGCAAGGATTCCAACTCAACTCTGCTTGTATTGGCAAAGTTCTCCTCCATCTCCGAAGTGCAACAGGTGTAACCCTGGGGACATGTCCTAAGGTGCTCCCCTGAAATGAACAAGGTATGCATTACTCTTCATGATTGATGAACACAGAGCTGTAGCAAGACATCTAGAAATGTTGTATTTTTTTTTTAATGTAATCATGTTTTGTTACATGGACATTTAAAGAAACACTTCACGCACCAATACTAACAGGCACAGCTGTAATGTTTATGGTGCCAGGAGTGCCCTGCTTTAGAATGGTTTGACTTCTTACGTGGGGTCCACCGAAGTTTCTGTTAGTTCTCCTGAGCTAAGCCGTGCAGTGCAGGGCCAGCTAATTGGCTGAGAGTGTCAGCTGTGGGAAGCAGGTAGCGGAGCTTGGCCAACCCAGGTAAGAAGTAAAACTGTTCTGAAATGGTTTGTCTCCTTACAATGGAGGGTTATGGGCACAACAAGCACCATAATCACTGTAGTGCACTGTAGTTTGACATTTTGATTGACATTTTAAATGGAAACTACAAAGAACACAGAAATAAAATAAATGAATCATTAAAAAATAAATACATTATATATTTTTCTTCAATATTACAAAACAAATATTAAATGTATACATTATATGCAGCCATATATACAAACACCGATATTTTAATACTAAAACCATAATAGCTAAATTGAAAATCATTCTCAAATTCTAAATTTTGCTACTTTGGTCTAAATCAGGCATCTCAATCTATACCCTCCCCAGATGTCTGTGAACTACAATATCCATAACTTTATGGTCATTGATTGCATTCAAAACATTCTGGGACATGTACCCCACCAACATCTGGAAGGCCAGAGTTTGAGATCATTGGTTTAAATCAGGCCTGCACAACCTGCAGCCTCATAGATGTCTTGAACGCCCATGATTCTTTGAATGAAACAGATAGCCAGGGAATCATGGGAATTGTAGTTCAAAACATCTGGGGGGGGGCCGCAGGCTGTGCAGGCCTGGTCTAAATGAATGCTAAAGGTAGAACTCGTTGTTTAGTGAATAAAGCACCAAGGCATTCTCCCAGACTACTGACAAGCAAGGTTTCTTAATCTACCTGGCAAGATCTATAAATAAACTTCAAGGATCCATTATGCGTTCTGTCTCCTTTGTTAACATATATTCTGCTCATATTACAGCTTCTAGACCCAGCGACAGACTAATCAGATTCTATGCCTCCTTAGAACCTGTGATATCTTCCCATTCTTCCCTGATTAAGATAGAGAGATGGCAGCAACAGAAAATGAAGTAAAAGCTTACAGCATTTATAAAGCAGGCAGTGACCTTAAGACTGATTTCTTTTTAACAATACACCTTCTTCTTAGCTTCTCATCACATAGATTCAATTGTAGAATGTTGAACATTACACAGAAACATTCTGGAACCCAGGAGACTTCTCGCAAAATTAACACCATTAAGGCAGCCACTTAAAGCAGGATTTTAATTAAGATGAAATTAAGTGATGCAGTATATATAGAGTATTTGCCTGCATGCATATTATATGTCTTGCTTTTTAAAGGTTCACTCTATGTTAAATAAATGAAGTGGCTTGGTTGCAGTGGCCCTGTCCTTTTATTCCTGCATTGTAAAACATTGCTGTTTTTAAGAAACATTGCTGGTTTAAATCTACCTCTAGTGACTGTCATACTGACAGCGGAGGCACATAGAAGCTTGGATGCACATGTGGTGCTCGTCATGCATGCCCATCAGGTCCTCAATGCTCCACTATGAGGAGTATTTGATTGGACCATTGCCATAGTAGGCCTTGCCTCCTTGATGATGTCATGGAAGGTGTAGACGTGAGCATTGCCAAGGTAGCAGTGGAAAAAGGTAAAAAAAACACACATTTATTTTATTAATTTATATTACACATGGGGTGTATCTAACTAGAGATGGGGGCACCATGCTGTTAGAAAACAGGCATGTATTCTTAACGCTATAATGTTCCTTTAGGTGAATGGTTTTTATTATATGTTAAAGGAAAACTGATGAAACTTTAGTTTTTTGCTTGTTTACAAGTTTACAAGTCAAGTAAGCAGTGCCATTAAAAATTGCTACAATTTTACATTTGCTTTGAATACTCAACAATTAATGGTTTAGTGATTATCACTCGTGATAAACCTGTTAGCTAAACCATGGTTGCTTTTCAATGCTGTCGCAGTTGCCGCTCTAGTATTTATAGATGGTAATAATTTATACAAAGGTGGAGACACATACCGTGGCCGTTTTTCCAGACAAAAATAAAGGCTCAAGTGCAACATTTTTTTAAATTACTGTAGAAAGTAACTCATATACAACAACATAATTGCAATAATTTGTAACAAAAGTCACACTTTTAAAAAAAATATCTTGATTAAATAATAAATACACTTTCATTTAACCATTTGTTGGTTTGTTTTGTTCTTTTTACTTTGAATACTGTCAGATCTATTTACTAAAATGATCATTCAAAGTGAATTTCAAGTTTAAAGGCAAACTAGCCGAACTGAAAAAATTCTCTATGTCGGCAATGCTTTTAGTCCTGCTACTTTGCCTTTAAATTTAGAATTCACTTTGAATCCACCCTGAATTCTCACTTTAGTGAATTGCTTTGTATGACACAGAATAGCGATATGCTTGGAGGTGCGGCTTTGGGTGGAGTTTTTTGAGCCAAAGATCCAGATATTCAGTATCCGGATCACGTTTCCAATTCTCTGGTAATATTTTACTGACTTAAATCCAATGGACGACATGTCTATTCAGAAGCTGTAATGCAGAATCCAGATATCAATAAATACTGTGATTTATCTATGATTTTGCTGTCTGAAACCCCCGTCTGATACCATATTATTTTTGAAAATGCAGGTTGGGGGCATTTGGACTTTAGTGAATAACAAACAGGTGAACAAAGGATTTATTATCCTTGTCAGGGGAAGAACTGCCAGCGGTGCGGGGCCACAGGCTAGGGGAGCCCCTCAGGAGCTGTAGCTGGAGTATGATGTCATTACATCCCGGCCTTGCATAGAATCCTTACATTACGGGCCTGTGGCAAAGCATTGGAGGAGACGCTTAAAAGAAGCTCAGATTAGTTAGGAGCCGCAGCCAAATACCACCTGCCTATGCCTATATACAGCTACATATATATGTGTATGTGTGTCTGTATGACTGTGAATGTGGGTATGTATTTACATCTGTAACTGTGTTTTAAATTGTGGATATGTGACTGTCTCTGTAAGAAATGTGTGACTATGAGAATATATGAATGCAGGTGTACGTATTTGTAAAACACTCTGTTATGTATGTACTGTATCTGTGTTATATATCTATTGATCTGCCAAACTGTGAATGCAGTGCCTGTACGAGTGTGTGCCCTTATACTGTGAGTGTGGGAATATTTTAGTTTGGGAGGGATAGGTTACAAAGTTGGTTTGGTTGGATGGTTGGCAAAGTTGGTTGGGGAAAATATTAATTTTCAGGCTACTATGGGGATGCAAATTGGAAAATGTTGACATTTGATCAATGAAGTGAAGGATATGGGGACATAAAATCGCAGGTGATCCTTGTTAATTTACTGAAAACAACAGTTGATGGCTCTGTGATAATACAGAATATGAACTTCTGCTTTAGCATACCAGCTCATACTAGAAGCAGTGCAGGTACTCCATATAACTAGGTAAGTGTCATACCTTTCTTAAATGGATTGACAGTTTACCAATAAATAGCATCAGGGGTCTTCTGACACCATAAACACTACAGTGCAATGTAGTGGTCATGGTGCTTATCACATTAAGTGGATTGAAAAAAAGTAGGGGTAGGTCAATTCTTGCACTAGGGTCCTCTGTTCTTTACTTCTGGACACTAATCCTTGTTACAACATTCTGCTTTCAGACTTCCTTGGAAGTGACTTTCTTAGAATATCCATAAACATTAATAGCTTTTCTTCTTATAGTTTGGTTTATTTGGCATAACAAACATTCAAGACGCTTTATAAATCACTATGAGGGTAGAGATCACTGTACATTGTATCACTTTAATTATGCCTTGTAAAAACTCTTTTACAGCCTAACTTTGGTAAACACATATGAGTTACTGTTAAAATTGCTTGCCTAGTTATTTGTATAATTTAAATGTAAAGGCTCTCAGGACCTATCTAGCAAGAGAAGCAGGATGTTTTTTTCCCTTTATTTAGATTATTTTATGTTGCTATTCCAACTATTGATTTCACTGTAATCCTTGGGTATTAAATAAAGCTACGTACAAAATCTTCACAAATATTTGGGATTCCGAGCATGACTTCCTTTCGCATAATAGTCACTCATGTTAAAGTGGAACTTTCTCTGAATATTATACACCATTGTATAAAACACTGAAAATCACATCAAATGTTTTACATTTATCGTTTTATTCATGTGATGCTCCATTTTGTTTTAGTGTATATTAAATATGTAACAATAATTGATGCCACAAACTAATTCAGAGGGGGCACAGCAATGGCACACAACATACTGCAAGAGGAGAATCAGAAATAAAAAATCTCCACCATCACATACTATGTTCAAGGACATAAAATGGCAGATGAATATAACAGCGATTAAAAGGAATCCAAGATGGAGGTGGCCACTTCCAAGATGGAGGTAAATATAGCAGTGTGGATTTTTACATTTAATTTTATTTTTCAGCGTTCACAAAGACATATTTGATAGATAAAGAGAATAAGTCAATATTAAAATACTGAAAAATATTGGTTTCTGTTTTAAATTAAGTGCATGAATGAAAAACAAGAAACCAACCACTGGCAATGTGAATATTTACAAACATGTCAACCCCCCTTAGGTTCTGAACGTCAACTTTCTCCTTATGTTGTGGACCATGCTAAGGTCTACTATTGGGTTTAACCAATAATCTGAAAAGTAAGGAGAATTGCCATTCAGGAGAAAATATCTAAGTTGCATAATTAGCTGATTTAGAAAATTTCGGTATTTCCATGTCTAAAATTTGTAATTCACTTTTCAACTCAATACAGTTTCCTGTTTTGGTGAATGACCCATGCATCCTCAGTGA